GATGCTTAATTTTAAATTTTAGTTTGCATTTATTACTTAATGCGGAAGCAGATGAGTTTTAGGACAACCCGCCTCCAGAGCAGATTAGGCAGGCGGCTGAATATGATGCGGACAGGGACGGAGCCAGCATGGGAGAAGGGGGGCAGCTGCCCCTCTAAACTTTTGAAAAATATTAAATATAGTACATATATTTTTATTTTTTATAAAATTTATTTCTGAAGTTTGAATTATAGAGACTATTTAAGTATAAAAAAATATTTATAACTAGATAAAGAGATTATTTGTAACTAATTCTTACAAAGACACTAATTTTGTCTAAATAAGAACAAATATAAAAAAAAACTCTAGACCTAGTTATATTATTATATTTGTTATATATAATTTTTATTTGTATAATTAATATTCTATTAGACTAATGGTTGAATCTATTTTATTTATGTAAATAGGTTTCAAATTTAAAATTAATTTGATATACATAACTTTATAAAGAAAATAAATTGTATTTTTATATTATTTTTTAATAATTTTAAATTATATGCTATTTAAAAATAGTTAAATATATTTAATTAATTTAAATTTTTACATAAATATTATAAATGATATATGCATAAAATTAATGACTGATGTAAAAATTGATAGATATTATACCATATAAATTGATGAATAAGTCAATTTTTTCTTTAAAATTCGCCCTTCTAACATAAATTCCATGCTTTGTCCCTGAATACAGATGTAATAAGCTTTTGATCTCTGTACTGTTTTTTCTTAGAGGAAATATAAGATGAATTTCATGTTAAAAATTACTTAATAAGATTTTTTAACTAGTAATTTTAAGGTATATATTTATTGTATATTTTTATTATTAATTTATATAAAAAAATTATCTAAAAATCATTTTTTTATCCTAACATTTGATACATTTATTATTGCTCCACAAGGGGATGATTTTTCCGCCTAAAATTACGAGTATTTAACTATTTAAGCAATTGTTAAATTTGATTTTTGTTTAAAATTTAAAATTTTATGAGTCCCACCACTTAACTTTTCACATATTAACACATTTTAATACATTAAGAGAATAGTATTTATTTATTTTATTTCTTAAAAATTAAGAAAAAAAATTATACTAAAATTACGTAATTTTAATAAATTTTTATTAAAAAATATTAAAATATTTTATTTTAAAAATATAAATTAAAATATTTTTTTATTCTTTCTTATAGTGTTTTATTAAAATTATGTAATTTTAAAATAATTTTTTCACTTAATCTTTAAAAAATAAAACAAATAAACATTTTTTTTTATCTTGGTTGCATAATGAGAGGTTCATCTTTTATTTTTTATCCTACTTCACCTGCATATCATGCAACTCGAATTCAAAATATTTTACTTCTCACGAAAGAAGATAATTACTGAATTATTTAGATAGTTGACAAAATAAATAAACATTAACCTCATATATTAACAATATTCTTGTATATTTTTTATTAAATTTAATATTAACCATCGGATTCAATCAAATGAATCTAAGAGTCTGTTTGGTGTTACTTGTGAGAACTTTTGCTTTTTTAGTATTGTTATGAGTGATAAATTTAAATTTTTATTGGAGAGAAAATAGAGCTTTAGTTTTTAGAAAGGTGAAAAAGTGAGTAAAAAATAAGTGAAAAGGGAGTTTATGAAAAGTTTGGATTTGAAACTTTTAAAATTTTACTGTTTAAGAGTTTTTTAAAGTTAAAAAAATATTTTAAAGTTAAAAAAATATTTTAAAGTTAAAAAAATATTTTAAAGTATAAGTTTTTAAGAGAGAAATTTAAATTCATGAAACATAAATAATATCCAGAAGCTGAAACTCCTATAATCCACACCAAACAAGCTCTAAACTTCTAACTCAAATCTTCAAACTTTAATTTTATCTTTTACTTCTTATTTTCATTTTACCCTCATTAACTATCGCAAATCATAACTCATCTCACACTTTCTTCTCCCTCTCTCCAATGTCGACTCCAAACAACCAAAACTCATCCTTTTCTTCTTTTTCTTCTTCTTCTTCTTTTTTCTTTTTTATTTTTTATTTTTTCATGGGGAGCCCCGTTAGATCATGGGTGATGAGGTTTCTAAGAAATCAAGGCAGCTCAAATTTCTTTTTCTCTTCTCCCTTCGTTTCAAGTTCAGCTTTTTCTTTTATATCATGGTTTGTCTTTAAGTTTTCCTCTTCCCATATATGAGATTTCCACTCCTGAACAAAGCAAGAAATCTTGGGTGATAGCTTTTGAAAACTGGAAATTAAAAATGGAAAATTTGAAAGTTTTCTTGTTTTGGTTAAAATTGCAACCGATTCGATTAAAACCAAAAGAAAAATTAACCCAAATATGAAAAGTTACTAATTCTTAATTCAGTAAACAATATTAAGTAAATCATGTTTTATAAATAAGATTTTAAATTTAAATCTTATAAATAAAAAAATAAATATTATAAAATTTTTTAAAATTTAATATGATTCGATTTTAAATTAATTAGTTTCAATATAATGATAAGGGGTTAAAAAAAAAAAAAAAACTTTGTTGAATTTTTCCGAACCGATATTTGGTTGACTAAAAAATCGGTTGCAGTCTTGACCGAAACCTCCCGAATCCCACCCCTAAAATTTATCCCCCAAAAAAATGAATTTCTATCTTTCCCATGGAGGGAATAATGTGAACCACAAGTTAGAAACCAGAGAAAAAAAAAAAAACATCATATTTCCAACCAACTTTTCATAATCACAGTTCCAGAAAAAACGGCAATGGCTATCTCATGCTGTTCTTCTTCTTCATCTTTTACTCTTCTAAAAACCGTTCAATGTCCAAACGAACCCTTCACTTTTCATCCTTCTCTCTCTGTTTTCTTGCCAAAATCACCTCTTTCATTATCAAACCCAAACACGAAAACGACCCATGTCTCCGTTGAAGGTGCTCAGCCTTGCAGATGGAGAACGAGGGTTTCGTTCTTCCCAGATTTCCTGACCAAAGGTAAAGACGTTAAGAGCCTCAAGGAAGAGCTTGTAACAGCAATTGCACCTCTTGATCGTGGTGCTGAGGCTATCCCTGAGGATCAACAGCGTGTTGATCAGGTATGGGAGAATTGGGATTTCCTCTTTTTGTTTGTTTAACCGAATTCTGGAGTTCAACATGATAATTTCCTTGGTTCTGGCATTTCATCGAACGGATTGCGCGCAAACTTGAGGCGGTAAATGAGATAAAGGAGCCTCTCAAGTCTAATTTGCTGAATGGAAAATGGGAGCTTATATACACAACATCTCAATCAATTCTAAAAACCAAGGTGCCTGTTATCTATAATGTTGCCAAAGTTGTCAAATTTTATTTAATTCCCATAATTTGATTGGATTGTTTGTGAAAATAATTGTTTTTTCCTGTCTCATTCTTGTGTTAGAGGCCGAAATTCTTGAGACCAAACGGAAAAATATACCAGGCAATCAATATAGATACTCTCAGGGCTCAAAATTTGGAAACTTGGCCATTTTTTAATCAGGTGATTACTTTTGCTCAAGGTTTGCATTCAGGAAATTTCCTTCACCCTTGTTTTCAAGACACGAATGGAGCCTTTAGGAACACCCAAGATATTTGTAGACTGTTGTATGTGGCTGCTGAATTGCTGAATCTTGTTCTTTTACCTTTTGCCATTATGTTCAGCATGAAAATATAATCAACCTTTAGTTAGTATTGAATTTGTGCAGTAATGCTAGAGATTTTTTGGTATAAGTACTTAAAAAGTTCTTTTCTTTGCAACATTCGAACTAAATGCTTTAAAAATTTATCTTAGTTTCATTCATTGTGTCGGTATTTCCCCAGGTTACAGCAAATTTAGTGCCTCTAAATGCAAGAAGGGTGGCTGTTAAATTTGACTATTTCAGAATTGCTGGTCTGGTAGGTTACCATTCTGAAACATTTTCAGAATACCGTTATGTTATAAGTTACTTAGGCAGGACTTAAAATTTTATTTAGCAGTCTTTAAAGTTTAATTTGCTTTGTTTACTTGAAGTGTTTCTCTTTTCTTTTAGAATTGACTCTCTTATTAAAGCTGTTGATTGTCCTGGAATGGTTTTTATTTTCTTTCCTCATTTATAAGCCACTGATACTGTACAGATACCAATTAAGTCTCCAGGAAGTGGGCGTGGACAGTTGGAAATTACATACTTGGATGAGGAGATAAGGTAAGTAATACTGGAGGCGTACCTTTTCTTTCTGAATGTGAATAGATGATTGAATGGAACTCAATATAACAGCATTCCATGGTATATATTCTTCTAGATTGTAATTAGTCTGTCTGATCATTTTCTTAACTAAAACACAAAGGGAGTTCAAATAAGAAAACATAAGAAGAACAACCTACTCGACGACGAATTTCATTGCATTGCATTCAACTACAAATCTACTTGGCATATTGTTTCTCTTATGCCAACCATCCATTTACTGATATACTATTTTTCTGCAAATGCTTTACTTACCTTTAATATCATTTTCTTTTCAATAGAATATCAAGGGGTGATAGAGGGAACTTGTTCATTCTGAAGATGGTAGATCCATCTTATCGAGTCCCTCTCTAGAGCAGCTGCAACAAAGGACAGCAAAACCTTGTTGAGATGTTCATCAATGGGTTTTCAAATTGTAGACTTCAGAAAAAAGGACTTGTTTCTTGATAAACTCCAGCAAGTAAGAAGCTACTTAAATGAAGCTTTGATCATCCGGTTTTCAATTTTTTTTTTTTTACTAAACTATTTTGAAATCAAGTTACATTGATCCATAAAGAAGGTTCTCTCATTGATTATTTTTCTATTCATAAGGTTTAAAATCGAAATCTTATTTAAGGATAATTAAACTTCTTTGACTTCGACTAATAAATTGTTAGTATCATCGAGGTTTTATTGGATGAAAGACTTGGTGAACCAAGAGTCTACGTTGTTAGAACTTTATAAGAGGGTTTAACGTCTTGGAGTATTGATATCTGCTTGCAAAGATAAAAACTTGGAGGGCATTTTATAGTCGGGGTTCACACCTGACTGAAAAGACATGAATACATTATGAGAATAACTTATACGATATAATACAATGTTGTGAAATTATAAGTTTATATTAGTATATGTTTGTAGTCTTTTGTTCGACTTTAATAAATTTAGTTCTTTTGTTTAATAAAATAAAGATATAATAATCGTTCGATTGATAAAATTTTATATTTGTCACTAATAATCATTATTTAAATAAACTTTTTACTTAATATATATTGTAATTATTATCTTTTAAAATAAAATAAGAGTGAAATATGAATGAACATACAAGAACATCTTAAAAATGAAGTGAACAAGTAAATTTAATTTGCCCAAATTAAAAATTAGGTCTATTAAAATTAAATAAAAAAAGTATATATATAAATAATTCTTTTTACTTAAAGCGTGATTATGGTATTTTGTATATATATTTAATTATATATCATATTTATATAAT